AAAGTGGCGTGACCTAAGGATCTACGTGATGCCCCCGCCCCCCCCCCTCGCCCCACACACCCTCCGCGCCCCGCCCCTCGCCGAAACCGACAAGTAAGTGCCTGTTTGTACAGGAGACAGGAAACAAACACAACAACAGCACGAACAGACACGCCCCTGTCTGTCGTATTTCACTTAATGCATCCATTCATGCTCCTTCCCTACTGACTGCCCATCTGTCTGTCTGTCTGTCTGTCTGTCTGCCTCGTCGCGTGCCCGACCAACGAAAAAGTGGTGGGGTTGAGGAGGGAGGCAGCGGCAGCGGCACTGCACGACCGCACCACCGCATAAAACCGACAAATAGCTCTCTAGCCAGCCATGCCGCCCACATTGCGGACTCCCCCACTCTCACTCTCACTCTCATTTGTCTCGAATTGGCCCCCCAGCCCCCACGTCACACCACACCGTCACACCACACCGTCCCTCGAACTAGCTGGGTACTCTACGTTGCGTATGCATGCATCGCCCCCTCACTCACTGCTGCCTCTCCTCAGCGGCCGACGTCTCCGGCTGCTGCTGTGTGAGCCTGACGAGTGGCGGGCCGAAGTCGACCTTGAGCGATGCGATGAAGATGGCGTTCTTGACGACCCACTCGATGGCCGTCCGGACGCGCCGCTCCCTGGCCAGGCTATCGAGCAGCTGCAGCTCTTTCAGCCGCTCGTCCCACTTGCGCTCGTCGTACTCGAAGTACACAATCCCGCTAAGCAGACTCTGCTCACGCTCCTCCTGCTGCTGAGTCGGAATGGGGATCGGCGTCAAGGCGTCAGAGTCACCGTCCGGGTCGGTGTTGAGGTAGCTGATGAGCCGCTGGAGAGGGGGGAAGGACCTGAGTGGCTCTAGAGGGCCCCAGTCCGGCTCCTGTGTGGGGTCGGGCTGCTGCTGGGGTGGCGTGTATGCCGGGAAGGAGTCCTTTGTGGTGCGGGAGAGGCTGTCCTTCGTCAGCAGGAACAGACAAGACGCCGACAGGAAGTGCCACACCTACATGCAGAGGGCGCACCGCACATCCGTCGCTCGCTTGTGCCTCTCTCTCGTGGTGTGTAATGTGATGCGGGAGGGTGGGTGGGAGTGGATTGCCTCCTTACTGAGTGTGCGACGGTGTATGTGTCTCCATTGACATCGATGAGCAGCACCAGGGCCACCCCGGCCATCAAGAGGAAGGGGAGGGACATCCGCAGCGCCGCCCTCTGTATGAGGTGCGCCATCAGGACACTTCCCAGCAGGATCGCACAGACCACATCCAGCACACACGCCAGGTGGACCACGCCCGTCTCAGGGCCCAGCGCAACCTGCACACACACGCACACACACAAAAGACGTCACTCAAAGGGATGGGCCACTTCTCTGCCTCCCTACCTCCCTCCCTGCCGTCACCTGTGTGGCGTGGAAGGTGAGGGAGACGCTGCCCATGGCGAGTGCCCCTGCCGCCAGCCATTTCGGAACCTGTGGGTCAAGGTGAAAGTCGAGAGCGACCATGGCATACGCAATGTTGGACAGCAGGAAGGGCGCCGACAGATGGGGGTCGGGCGACAACGGATACCTGACACACACACACACACACACATATTCTCTCTATCGATGTGTGAGTGTGCGCCTCTACTGCATCCTCTCCTTCCATGCCATGCCCTTTTACCCACTCACCACCAGTCGGGCAGGCGGAAGGCATCGAGCACTGCGGGGTTGACTATATGAGGGATGAGCTGCGCGTTGTCCAGCAGGGCAGCAGCTGCCTCCAGCACAAACCTCGATGCCTCCTCGATCGCACTGTGCGGCAATGGGGGAATTAGCGGCAGCGGCGCAAACGGGAGAAAAGACGGCAGCAGAGTCGACGTCACAGCTGAGGCCGCCATCGCCTCCGTCCCGGCCGCCATGCGGAGAGGCCGTCTGCTTCGCAATGGTTGCGGGAGGCGCTGTGGTATTGAAGGCAAAGGGTGGGTGATGGAGGGGGGGAGGAATGCCTCCTTGGAGGCTGTCGCCATGTGCATCTTGCTGTCCGGTGGCCTCATCCTGGCGCCGTCGGTGCCGGTCGCGGAGCAGAGTAGGATGGGAAGCATGAGATGAGCAGCCGTCCCCGAGATCTTCATGTTGCGGGTGTGCTGCGTCGCTGCGCGACGGTGGGAAGAGCTCCCCTTTCGTCCCTTATGCCAGAAGCTCGCCAGATCATAAGCTTGCAAGTGATCCAAGAACGACTCGGAGCTGTTTGTTGGAGAGGTTTTTGGCTGCGTACTTAGTACCTATTGCAATTTTGAAGGTTCGGGTGTAAGTTGAGGGCAGAGCATCGCGAGCAGTGTTGCTGAAAGGTGAGGTGCGGTGTGCTGAGTTGAGGCGTCATGGCGACAGCGCAGGGGCAGCAATGGATCCGTCTTAGCCCTGAGGTCAGCCGCCATCATCGACACACCAATCGAGATGAACACGCCTGTTTTCTCCGGATCTGTTGCGATGCATGTGGTGTGTGTGTGTGTGTGCAGAAGACGATAGAGTTTCCGACGAGTGGTGCGAATGCGTCGGTGACGGTGAATCTGAAGCTGACGAACGTGTCGGGCGGATACCTGGCATACAAAATCAAGACCACTGCACCACGCAAGTAAGGACTGACTGTGTGCACACACGGTGGGTGGACACACAAACATACCATGGCATGCAACACAACAGCGGCACCGGTATGTATGCACGTGGTGCGTGTCATGGCATGCAGCTACCTGGTGCGGCCTAGCTCGGGTGTCATCAACCCCCAGGGCGATGCCATCGTCGAGATCATCCTCCAGGCCAACGCCACCGGTGAGCACACACACACCACTCACACGCACCACAACCACAACCACTGCGCCGCTTTGCTTTGTGTGTCTGCCCGTCCGTTGTCCACCAGGTGAGGGCGGTCCCCCGACCAACGACAGGTTTCTGGTGCAGGTCACCCCCACGAGCAGCAACCAGCCGCCCGCCCGCGACCAGTGGACCACCATCGCCAAGGAGCACATCCAGGACCACCGGCTCAACGTCGTCTTCAAGGAGACCGCCGGCACACCAGGCAACGCCTTGCCCAACGGCGTGCGCCCGCCGCAGCCTGGCGGGGCTCACGAGGACACCAACCTGCCACAGCAGCAGCAGCAGCAGCAGGGGGCCGCTGCGGGTGGTGGTGGTGGGGAGGGCACGGTGTCGGTTCAGGATTTGCAGAGCAAGTACAGTGAGTTGCTGCAGTACAACAAGGCGGTGGAGAAGGAGAAGGCGCAGCTGGAGAAGCAGGTCAAGGCCCTCAAGGAGCAGCAGGGAGCGGGCAGGAAGGGCTGCCCCACCTATGTGGTCGTCCTCGTCATCGCCGTCTCACTCGCCATCGCCAAACTCGTCGCCTGGTTTTAACAAACCCACCCCGCCATCCATCCATCCATCCAGCTGTGAATTGAATGCGTGCGTCCGTCGGTGGGGGTGTGGTGTGTCTGGTGGTGGTGGTGGTGGCGGTGCATGCCATACGTGCGTGGCGTGTGTTCACTCACGTGTGCCGATACATAACATACATACATGGTGGCTGGTCTTCATCGAGGGAGGTGCGAGTGTTTTTAATGGCGGACGGTTGCGTTGCGAGAGAGAGGGGGGGGGGGGGG